CCCAAAAAAAAAAAGGAAGAAGGAAAAGTATGAAATTTGTTCACCTGAATTATCTACGCCGGGCATGTTTTGATAAAGTGAGAAAAGAACAGGTGTTTCTCCTCTCTTTGAAACCGGCCGTATGTTCCTAGAAGTTCCGACTTTTGAAAAGTTGAAAGAGAGACAAGGTTCTCTCTCTCTCTCTCTCTCTCTCTCTCTCTCTCTCTCTCTCTCTCTCTCTCTCTTTCTTTCTCTCTCTCCCTCTTCCCCCTACCCTCTCTCTCTCTCTGTGTCTGTCTCTCTCTCTCTCTCTTAAAATGTGACTATAGAAGCTTTACGCCCCCCCCTCCTTTCCCCGACATTATTCAAATCAGTAAGGAGGCGGGCTTCCGATCGTGCCTGTCAGGGTTAACGAGGGTTGAAATGAATCCAACATTTCAGAAGAAAGACCGAGGTACTTGGTAGACATTTTCTCCCCACTCAGGAATTGAATTCGGGTATTCAGCAAGCGGAAGCGAGGCGCCTAACTGCTGTACCACATATGTCTGCTCTCCCCTCTCTCTACATATGTCTCTCTGTCTCTCTCTGTCTCTGCCCCCCCTCTCTCTCTTTCTCTTTCTCTCTCTCTCTCTCTCTCTCTCTCTCTCTCCTGACATTAGTGGTGTTATCACCAAACTCTTTGCTGTCGCACGTAAAGAGACATGGGTAAAGATCCCTGAATGTTGATCCCCCTGAACACAATTTGCCAATGCTTTCTTCTACGGTCAAAATCGATAATTATTGTTTTTCTGCGTTCCTTCAAAAAATTCCATGGGCTTGTCAATCCTGTTTTTCCTGCATGTTACTGACATCTGTGTTTTCTTTAGTATAGCTTCTCCCTAACTATTCAATCAAACGTAAGCCCTATGAAGATCTTCAAACCACAGATACTTTTTGGTTTCAGGCAAGATGTAACAGGAGCCGAGTTAAACATCGCGAACCACATTCTTTTGATCGCAAAGATGTGTGTTAGCCAGATACGCTACAGCGAAGCGACAAATATACACATTTTATTTGAATCGAAGCTGGAGCTGTGAGAAAGTAGGTGTTTGTAAGGCTCATCGATAGCGCCTGCGGAGGAAAGATAAGATAAATACATGTATAAATATTAATATCTTGTTTCCAGCAGTACATATCTGAAAGAAACGGATGGGAAAAGTGTTCTCTCTCTCTCTCTCTCTCTCTCTCTCTCTCTCTCTCTCTCTCTCTCTCTCTCTCTCTCTCTCTCTCTCTCTCTCTCTGTCTCTGTCTCTCTCTCTCCCCATCCCCACTCTCCCTCACTCCCCCCATCCACACCCCCCCCACTCTCCCTCTCTCCTGCTCCGCCTTTTCCTCATAAAATAAATATTGTGTCACGAGAAAGGACAGAAAGAGTACTTATACGTGAGGCATTGTGGTGAAATCAAGCGCTCGTCAAAATAATGAAATCAGACAAATCGGCATTTTGTTCCGCCGTTTTGGAAATTTTTATAAAATTTTTGTTTTTTGGATGTAAATTAGCATTTTCCAAGGACACATTGGCATACCATGCGAGCAAGAAACTGTAGAAAGATAAGCTTATTTAGGACTCCACGGGGAAATGTTTTCTCATTAAAGTTAAAGTTCTGACAGCGAAATTGAACATGTGATAAAGAAAATCGGCTACTTACAATGCAAGTAGAGAAAC